GCTCCCGATACCAAAAAATCGCCATCTCCAAATTTTGATATTTCGTAAGGAAAAAAATTCTACACAAAATAGATCTTTTTTAAAAATCTAAGAAACACTTTTTTCTATTTTCAATCGAAACTTTGTTTTTATTACATCTTTGTGCATTCTTAATACAATTGAATTATTCAACATTCATTTAAAAGAAATATGCAGGATAAGCAGAAATACGTCAGATCAAAAATTGTTAAATTTTGTTGAGGATGGGCCAAATTACAAGCCTCCAAAGATAGGCATGTCAAGCGGCAACCTGATAAATTTTGCAACTTTGGGGGTGTAACTTGGCGGGGAATTCACTTTTTCAAGTTTTCTTTGCGGCTTTCTTTATGCTGCCTAGACTCTGTTGAACAGAAAAAAAGTAAAAAACCTGAGAGGGTAACGCTCAAAGGTGTGCGGTTTGGCATGGGATGGCCCTTGTAATCCTACACCGACGCGTTCATCTCCAATTTGGTGTGAAAACATTTTCGGCGGCAGGTCCAGGATTATGGCGACAGGCCGGCAACCTGGGCAAGTGTTGGTCTAGGTTGATATTGGCACGTTTTTATCAGCCTTGCTGAGAAAGGTTTTTGGTGACTTTGGTATCATTCTGTTCGGCAAAATTCTGGCAAAAAGTTGCTTGCTGAAGTTTAGTTGAAATTTGGTTCCCTTGCTGAGTTATAGTATTCAACGTTTTAGATTACTACTTTTATTCTCAAATAAAAGCAACCTTTTTTGCTCGTGTACCTACTGCTTTTTTTGATTTTTAGGTTCTAGAGAGCGTTTATCTGAATTTGTAAAGTTACTGCTTATGTGGCAGCAGCAGCTTCTTACATATTGCGCTATTTTGGTGGAGAAATGGGTTTAACTTAATTTTGGTTATTGTATCCTGTATAACGTGCAGTTGAGGTTCGTTTTTTTTTTTTTCAAGCCAGTACATAATTTTCCATATTTTCCTCAACAAAGTTTATTTTAACTTCAACTACTCGCAATTATACTAGAACGTTTTACAAATACTGGACTATTTACAGTGAAGCTATTTACAAATCTGGCCTAAGTCTAAGTAGGGGCGGTCCAGTCGCTGTTTTCCTGTTCCCTTTGTTATTTCTTCTTGCTCTCTCCATTCACATACCTCGTGGCTTTCCCCGTCATCCATATTACGTTTTTTCCACGGTTTTTTTTTTTTTTTTTCACAGATGGCTGTCTAGGTTGCAGTAGGAAAAGAATAAAAATAACATTCACGCATCTTCATTTTCACTACAGCAATTACGTAAGGACGTAAATGTATTCCTATATTTCTTTAAACCTAACTAAAAAAAGGCCAGCTTGAACGAAAATTTAAGAAATCAGATGCAGGATACATTTTTTTCTCTTCTGATCGTCCCTTAACGTTTTAGATCAGTATTCGCCACTTTTTCAGCAGTACTTTTTAAACTTTTCTTATCTATTGAAGACTGTATCCTTTTCTGCTATCATTTCATGATCTTCTTTGGAAACTTCTGCCGCCACCTCCCTTTCTTTTACACTTTCTCAAAGCACTTTGCATGCAGTTCTCCAAAAAAAAAAACCTAGTCTTTGGGCACTTAACAAAGTATTATAGTAATACGGCTAAAAATTATATGTAAAGATTGAAATTACTCTCACATTTTGGCTAAAATCTCGGCTGAAAATAGAAAATTAAATCATAAAATTGTAAATGCCAACAGATAAGACCTTGACAAACAATAAACAATAGCTGCTACTTTATTTGCACAAACTACCTAAAAGTTTAGCATACTTTTACGGAGTTCACTTCGGATTTCCCCACATTGCACAGTGGCATTGTGCCAAAGCCGCCGTAACTTCTGCAGAATAAAGGGTAACCGCTCCCAAAAAAATTTCACACCAAATTAGAAATGAATTCTCCCATGTATGGAGCCGCCAGTATGCAAGAGCTCCGAAAATTTGAAACGTCTATGGAGGGACGCGCAGGTAACTCTTAAATCCTCTAGATATCTTTATACGACTAATGTATTTCAAAAAGCAGTCGTGCTTGCCTGATAAAGTCGATACCAATTACTTCTTTCCCCTCTTTCCTGATCTGAAAAATTCTGGAGGTCCAACGTAAGCTCTCTTGTAGCGCTATTCATAGATAGCTTACTAAATTCGCTATTTTAAGTGCTCTACCTTGTGGCAAAAATTAGCCAGTCTCAACAATGCGGCAACTAACCATTCCCAAACATGGGACTGAATTTGTGTAGTCAAAGTCTACAGAACATCCTACCAAAAATTCCAGAACTGCAGTTCTCAGAGACTGCCGAGGTTACCAATGCAGCTAATTTGAAGAAAAGTAAAAAATAAACACCGGTCAATGCAGAGGCGCCCGACAGCTTTACTACAAAGAGACTGTGACAAAATGTTCTACCTTATATTTTGCCAAACCAATTGAAATCATCTTTCCTGACTGTAGAAGTAATCACCCCCCTGCCTTCCAAGTAAGCTTTGTGTTTGGAAGTTTGCCTACTCTTATAACCCTTCAAGCGGAAAATCTCTACAAGCAGAATCTATAAAAGCGGAATTACGGAAAAAACCTGACAATTCCCAAAATAAATACAAGATTCCAAAATAAATCCATCTCACAAGACCCGAAAGCTTCCTAATAAGCGCTCCAGCGCAAATTGGTAACAGATGCGTCTTGTAACACACTGTGGGGTGGAACACTCAAGGAGGCGAATCCTCCAGGAAGAATAAAAATGCAGTTTTTGGCTCTACATACGAAACTCTAAGACGCACAACACATGTCCCAGCCTAAGCGTTAATACGAGCTTCTGCGAGATGTGTGTTGTAATAAGGGAGATCCTCATTTAGAAGGCGTAAATTAGCTATTCTTCTCGGTCCATATGCAGATTCGGAATTACTTTCAGATTCACTTCTGTAAAGGAGAATTGTAAGCTAGAAACTAATTTGCGAATCACAGATGCTTAGTTAAAAAACAACTGACCGATTTTCCAGCATTACGCGACGGCCTCTTTCTGCATACCTAGTAGCTATGTACAAAGGGGCAGGAATAGAAGTTGGCGAATTTACGATCTGATGGCAGTAACAAAGCGCGTATGTCATCATCTCCAAGTCGTCTAAAGAAAATCCAGAATCATCGACGACGACCGTGTACCTTGGAGTCTTGCTGGTGCCCTAGGATTAAAAAACAAAATAGACAAAACCAGTCAAAGCAGCAGTGTGATGATCGTCCCTGGCATTTCATTCCAAACAACTATCATACACTTTTATTTTCCTTTTCAATATTACAAAGAATGACAAAATACTAATTAAGTCGGATTCTGAATACCAAATCACCACTCAAAAATGCACAAAGAGTTCAGAAAATACAAAGCTCCCTCATTCAAAAAAACCGTAATCATTTCGGGAAGATTTGTGGTGGAAATTTCTAATATTCTCTTCCGCTTCGCTTCTAAACTCAGAAGTGCCAGCAGTCAACAAAAAAAAAAAAACTGAGCAGAACTTCCCTTTAAACTGTCACACAAATAACGCAACCTCTAATTACAAATCTCCTTTGCTTACCTGTAACGCTTTGTGAGAATTTAGATAAAACTCGCTGAAACGCGGGTGGACGACTTGTTCATCAAGAACAGTGCCGGGCTTACAGTTCTGCTCCACAGAACGAGCCCGTGGATCCAACTGAATCTTAAAGAATTATAGTATCAACAAGATTGTGCCACAGCGGTAAATGATGAGTGGCGGAAGTGTCACAAAAATTAAGTCAACCTCTTGCGGAATCACTCGAATATTATGCATCCTATTAACTACTATCATCGTAACTTTCACAGCAGGATCGCAACCTCCTTCAACCAACCCTTTACGTATTAACGGAACTTCATGATCTAGCAGCTAAATTACTTAGTTTTCAGTAAGCTCACTCTGATATTTAAAATAAGTCGCTATTTGAAGTTCTGGGAATGCTTGCATCTAATAATCTGTAGACTGAGAAAAACTTCACTTGAAAGTTACCAATCAAGTGTATGAAGTTGTATAAGGCAGCTGGCTTTTATTTGACAATGAGACAAATAACTGCAGAAATATCAGAAATCTAACACAATATTCTTTCGCACGCAACAAGACATTTCACTCCCCTCAAGAACTGTCAAAAACAGCTTTAGCAAAGAAACTCACTACGGCAAACTGTCCTTCAGACACTCCGCTACGATAGATTACTACTTCCCTCGGCTTCAGGAAACGATTTCTTTCGTATTGTTTCACGATACGTCTAATAAACCCGTCAACCAAGAAAACATTCTAGGAAGTGAAAGTAACATTAGGAAGAAAAGAGACGTGGACATAACTTGCTCTCAAATTTTCTGTCTGAAAATTTCAAATTAGTATCCTGTTTATCAATAAAAAAGCTTTCGTTAAACCTCTCTAATTGATTATATATTCCATTTGCTTAATGATTATTCCACTCTATTTGATTCTCACCTTCAACTTCCTTTTACCTCCTCGTCAAAAACTTGACCTACACGAAGCAAAAGACAACAGAATAGATAAAACTACGAAATGCACTTAATTCTTTGGTAAAGGTGAAACTCTTGTTACTTGTTTCATGGCAAAGAAACGAAAAAGCAAAAGTGCAAAAAGTGATCCCAATTAACAGACAAGTAGTTGTGCTTCAAGATCTTGGCAAACCATACCTCAGTACGCTGAGCGTCATGAAAGCCAAAATCACCAACGAACTCATAATTATCATTTTTTGAGTTTGCTGCATACCCAACAACTGTAGGGGTTAAAACGCCACCTCGTGCGACTTCCTTTGGACTGGGAGGATCCGGGTGCGCCATTGAAAAGCCAACTACCATACGTCCGTCAGGTACAAACTCTTGTATTCTAAAGCTTGCCAAAGATGCTTCGTAATTTACTATACTTCAGCAGCACACTAGTTAATAGAGAAACAAGTAAATAAAATTACTGGTCGAAAAAAATATTGCCGATGTAATCTGCTCTTTAGATACTTCACTTCTACAGAAGGTTACACACATAAAAGAGCAGTAAGATTAGTAAGAGGTTACTAGACCCGACAAACAAGAAGACAAGTCTCGAAAGCTTGAATGTTTTAATGGGAACTACACAAACTAACCGTCGGTCTGGAGAAAGCAACGTGTAATTGAGCCCTCCTAGTTTAATGTTCAGTTTATTGACTATATTTTCGAGGGTCTGACTTTTATTTCCCCTAATCACGTTCATAACACTTGTGAGTTTCAGATCCTGGGTAAGGATTTCATGCTTTCGCTCAAAATATTTGATTGCATCTACAAATCAAAGAAGTCATTTGACACTGTGGAAATCAGATGCAACTAGATGTTTTGAGATTCAAAAGAAAGAAGGACAACCGTGAAGACAAGCCCTGTCGCTTTGCACGAATAGAATGAAAGTACAATGATCGTCCTTGGCCGTAAGGATTGTTTTTTCGAGTAATTCTTTGCTGGGATCTATTCTATTGAGATAAATTGGAAAACTAATCTTCATCCCACTTCTCTCTGCCTTTCTCACGAGGTACATTACAAAGTCCCTGCGAAAAAGAATTCCCAATTACGTAAATCGAAGCTGATAAAATAAAACTATTTTTTATACCAAATGGTAACAATAACGTCAGATAATTAATACAAGAATAACCTAAGATTTTGTTTCGAAACTCCTTCGGTTGAGTCGCCAATGAAATAAGCTGCCCACCTCTTAAGGCTAGCTGGATGCACATAATAACATTTGTCAGCAGTCCACATCTTTAAGCATAACGTATAAAAATCCCAATAAATATTAGGATAAGAATTTAAGACCTGACTTTTTTCAAATTCACTTGAAGACAGTTAGGTCCACCATAAGAGATGAGTGGAGGTGGTAGTACACGTGCTCTAGCTTGCAACGGTTTTGGAATTACGACCAGACCGCTTCTTTCTTGTAAAAATTTGTTGTTTTTATCTGTCAGCTTTAGCGCTTGTATATTTTTGAAATTATTTTCTATTCTTTTAGCTGGTGATACGATACAAACCTAAATTATGTAAGTTATAGAGAAGCGAAAAATATTTGGTTCCCGAAAAACTTCTAACCTTCCAAAAGACTTTTAAAAAACTATACCTGCTCTCTGCTGTACAAGAAATAAAATAATCGGTGAACTCCATTCCTTACCTTGAAATCATACCACAAACAACCTTAAAGTAAACCTTTACCTTTCTCATTTCTTTTATCTGAACAGCTGTTTGCTGTTTCTGTTTTACTCGTTGATTCTCGAGGATGTAACACAGCTCCATAGGAAAGTAGCTTTCTCTCCCATTCGCTTTTCTATTAACCAGAAGTGGCAGTTGTGGAAACCTGAGTATGAAATTGGCACCTTAGTGCTCAGAAGGAACTTACAACCTCACTTAACGAACAAGGTTACACAATGAGTACAAAAGATAACAGAAAAGAACCTCAGTCCCACATTGTAACGTCTCCGAAAGTACTCGCCAACAGTAATTTCTTCTTCTTGATAAATAAACTTCACTTCCTCAGCACTGCGCGAAGAAACGTCATTAATTTGAAAAACATTCCTGGTCCCATCCTCCTCTTTTACTGCATACAAACCTGAAGACTAAGAGCGAGTGAAATTAATAAAATTGGTGTACTTACCAAAAGGAAGACTCAGGATGTAAATTAACCAAAAAATGACTGCAAAGCGTTTAAATTTCCTACCACAAGTATCACGCAAATAAAAGCCAACCAAAACAAATACATGCTTTTGTTCTACTCTAAGTGGTCTTATCACTTTAACCAAACAAATCAAACAAATTAATTAACGACACAAAAGAAAGACCTGTAAGCTGATCCCGAAGTCGCTTCAACTCCAAAGAAGTAATTCTGCGGTCCAAAACACTATGCAGTATGCTACTCGCTTTATTCAATACTGTTTCCCCAACATGAAACGCCGCTACAGACGCTTAAAAGGAGATACAGTAACAGAACTACATTGCAACACCCAAGGTCCCCTTACTTATCCTTCCTTACTCTAAAGAATTTTTTAATTCCTTGTTTACCGTATTCAAATAAAGCCTACCAGCATTTGCGGTTAACACTCTATGAAGAATTAAAATAATTTCGCACATAATTCTACCGCTATTCAATAAAATACCAACTACTTTGTGACTCAATTGCGACCTCTCAACAATTAAACAAACTCTGAAGTAAAACTGTCGGCAAATATTAATATAATTTATCCAACGCATAAACTGCAAAACGACATGAATCTTCTGTACTAGTAATATGGCTTTAACTACTTATAACAGCAAACTTACTATCTAAAACGACTGCAACGTTACAACTGCCACGGCCTTTCGGTCCTTCTACAACGCAAGCGGATTTGCGTGAACCAATACTAAGACGCTTTCCTTCTGATAACGTTGGACATTCTTCTTTGGAAAAGTCATATTTATATGGATTTTTTAGGTAAATGCGACCGCCTTCATATATAACATAATCATCCCTTAAAAGAAAAATTCAAAGCGATACATTCCTTAAAGTATTAAAAATTTTGTGCTCTCTCGTATTTTCAAGACAAACTATAAATCCCGTTTCAAGTATGGCAAAATTAGGCAGCAGCTACCCAAATAACATCCTCGCCAACTTCCTCAGTAAAATGCTTTGAAAAGGTCCTTTCAGATACGCCAACAACATAGCTGAAAAGACGACCTTCAACTGGGCTTTAAACAGCTGATGCCAATGTAAGCTTTCTGCACTTTCTGCCTATCACCCCAACAGTGTACTACACCGCTCACAAAATTCACTTTTTTGATTTGACCTTTCAAGACATATCGTTCGCAAGTTTTAACTTTTACTTTGGAACAAGTGGAACCTAAAGTTTCTCTTCCACATATTTTTGAAACCATATTTTCAAACATCTAATCCAACTTTCAAAGACCAATCCATTCACCACCCTATCACTCAGGAAACTGAGTTTACGCCCATAAATGAGCAGCTAGAGATGCTGTGCATAAGTGATACTTGAACTGCAGTCAAACAGCTCAGAAAAAAGTTTGACCGATGCCAGTGTCACAAAAAAATTAGTTTGTAACCAAACTTGAAGAAGCAATTCAAATTGTCTTGGTCGAGAGTATGTTTTATAAGAACGTAGTAAAATCAACTGCGACTTCAATGAGCCACAATTTTTATAAAGTCTTCAGGCAAAGAGTTGCAAAGATGAGAAATGAAGCTTGACACAAAGTTTTGTTCAAAAAACGTCCCCCAAACTGTAAACATGTCAAAACAGAAAAAATCAGATACCCATTCGAAAATACTAAACTTACTAAATGCCATTATCCCAAGGCGTAAAACGAACACCCTGTTGGGTAAACATTAACCTACAAATTTTTTGGAACTTACAGGCACAATATCGCTCAAAAATACTGGATCTGTTTTTTCCAAAATAGTTTATAAACCTCAACTTACTATAAGAAAATGTCTAAACACAGAGGGATTTTAAAAGAAAATCTAAGAAAACCACACTGGTTGAGCAGTGCATGCTGTGAGGTCGCAACTTCAATGAACTGTAAAAGCGTTCGATCAACGCTCCGTATATCACTAATCAGTGAGGTGACATCTTGTAGTGTGAAGTCCGAAGCAATCTGTTTCACTGTAAAGTGGATTTTAACAATATCTGCACCAAGTTCCTCTTTTCCATCTATCTGAATTTGGAAGGTGCGTTTCTGAAAGTAAAAAATGAAATTGACTCCGACTAGACCTTCTCAATGAGTTATCCCGGCATAAGGCAAATTTACCCGCTCTTGGGTCATAAACTTCAACTCTTCAATCGCGTACAGTATTTTTTGTCCATTATAATAAGTTACTCTCCCAACAAAAGAGTTGTTTTGCTGTAGTTTTTTGTACGCTTCCAGACAAGCTGTTCTTCGGAAGACTGAGGTGTAACTGAAAAATTATTCTATGCATGACATTTTAAAGCGAATTACTAAATAGCCTTAAGATGTTCAAAAACAAAATCCTGACTCATCACGACTCTGTTTTGCCAGTTCTACTCGATGACCTTTGCTGGTGAAACCAATGACCTCAACGTCATAAAGATACACAGAAATCGGCTCAAGTTTCACACCTAATATGTTCGTCGCTATTTTTAAACGTTCTATGGCAACTTCCCCTGGTGGTTTCTTTTCGGCGGGTACTTCTCTTCTCGTTGCAATCTGCAACCATATCTGTGTACTGCGCTCTACCTTAATTTTTTTTAAAGAATCTATTTTACAATTTGATTCCACTGAAATAGATGTTAAAGATGCACAATGAGAAGCAACCTTTCTAACAGTTGTACCTTCATCTGTTCATTCCATATGTTTTATAAAATTTGTGTCTCTAACGACTATAAGAACAACGCGACGTAGAAGTGGGTTGCAAAGCAATGACGCGCGCCGAAAGATAAACTGTAGACTACAAAAAAACTTGCCTTGAATTGCGCAAGACGTTCAGCTGCCTCATCCAGCCCTTGTTTAGCAGTTTTCCAACCTAGAAACACTACAAATAGTGCCAAAAAAGAATTTAATACCCAACAGGTACTTGAATCTGTATGTTACGACATCACTGACTGGTATTAGGCTTAACTTTTGGCAAAAGTCAAAATTCGACGAAGAGCCAAAGGGAGCAATTGCACACCCCGTTAAGTTTTCATTTTTCTCACAAAATAATTTTGATAAGGTGAAGGAAAGAACTCCAAATACTTACAAAACTTACATGTACTCCACAAAAATTTGGAAATATGATTGAGAAGTACAAAACTTTAGTATCCGAGAAACCTTTTTCTAAGAACCAATTAAAAGAACGAGCAGTCTTTAAGTTCCGCCCACCTTAGAGATGATTTACGCACTCAGTTCCAGTGTGGGCAAGTACCAAACATTGTTTAGGAAGAAAAAAGCTAGTGAAATAAACTGACCAATTCCGCTAAAGATTCAACGAAGCCTACCCTCATTTCCCCTAACTCAAAAGAGATTACAAAGAAGTTTATTGCACTCTGACTGCAATCTGTACTTTTTCAAGTTATTTAAACTCGCGTCTCGTGGCTCAGCTTCTTCAACGGCTTGCTAGTTATACAGAGAAAGAGACCCACGTGAGACGTAAAGTCAGAGGACTGCGACTACACGTCATTAGTGAGCAGGACAACTGACTCCCGGTCACTGCGGATCGTTCCTTTGCCATTCGAACATGGTTAGCATAGATTATGAAAAAGTTTACCTTTGTAAAAAATCACAAAAATAGAGGAATTCCTTTTCCGCTGAATTTTTTTTGGTTTTTTCTTTTTTTTAAGTAAAGAATTAAAAAGAGGGCTTTTGAGTCAGTGCAGAACATCAGAAATTGTAACTAGGTGTTAAGTATGATTTTCAGAATGTAGAATGAAGAGTGCTTTAAAAGACTGAATCAATAAAATAAGCAGTGAGAAAAATTGATTTTCTTTCCTCATTGTTAATTCTAACAAAAAATTTCAAAAATACTTAGTCTGCTAACAAATTTTTCAACAGTCCCATTACTCTCACACGCAGACAAGACTACTTACGAAGTTGAAAGATTGTGCTTGAAGTATGTATAAAGAAGAAAAGCAGAAAACTTTTCTGTTAAATTTTACAAATAATGAAAGAAAAGTAGTCACCATAGTTTTGATACAACTTCTCCTGCAATTTGTTTCTGTTAGATTTTTCCTCTACTCTAACCACTCCATTTTTTAAAAATTTGTTCCACAATTCCTCAGCAGGCAATTATACACAACTGCAGATGTTCCGCATTAATCCAACAGTTCCCCTCACCGCACTCGATCAACTTTAATATATTATCAGGCATACCAATTCCCTTTGCAATTTTTTACAACTTCAATAGAACGAGTTGTAGGTAGAGTGGGAGTAGTTCAAGGTACTAACAAGTCTCAACCAATTAAACAGCTTAGCAAATCCACATCGCCAGCAGGTCTTCTTCTCTGTGAAAATACCGATGGTATTCAGTGTTCATATAGGCGTTTCCATTTTCAAATGAACCTCATAGTCTGCTGCGACAAAAAGCACTTAAACTAGGTGAATTCCAACATCTTCTACTGTACACACCACTTGTTCAGTTAAAGTTAGCGCATAAGTCGCTTTTCGCGTTTTTTTTTTTTTTTTGCATTTTATGCAGTATATGCGGCTTATGTGCTTCATTTGTGTTTTGAGTGCGAAAAAAATGGTTTTTTTTTTAAATCATAGGACAATTTGCAAACCACTCAGGTTTTTTTTGCGTGGTACCCAGACCTGTTTAGAAGCTTATTTCCATATTCAAAGTGTACGATTCTGGGTATGAAAGCGTTAATAAAGAAATGTGCTACCTTATGGTGCTTGTGGATTAAGGGATGACGCACCTTTTTTTGGTGAAATCACAGGCTGGAAGCGACAGCCTGCAGCTTTTGTAAAGAATGTATGTGATTTGTGGCTGGTTTTTTGTTCTCCAGTATTATGCATTCCTATAGCCACCATAAAAAACGTGCTTCGCTTTGCTATCAAAATGCTTAGGCTATAACTGTAACATTTTGTAAAAATATTGATCAAAAATCAGTTGTGCAAATTTCGCAGTCATTACGGTCGTTAAACCTCAGCAGCTGATTCCAATGAACTACGGTAGGTACCAGCAGGCCGACGTTAAACATTTGGCTCTGAACAACTACTCACAAAAACTTGGTATTTTTACGTAAAATTAACGCCATGTTCTGAGCATATTAGTACCAACAAATGGTGCACTCTTCATGCAGCGTAAAGAAACGCGAGACACTGAGAAACAAAAACACAAGAGAACAGAAAAAGTCAAAAATCACGCTTAGTTTTAAAAAAATTGAAGATGAGTAATTTTCAATCTGCAGCTTTACATAAAAACGTGCTTTATCCCTTAAAGGTACAAGGACCATAAAAAAATACATCTCCTTATTAACATCTTCATGACCAGAATCGCAGTACAAATACAGAAATAAGCTTCTAGAACATTGATACCACACAAAAAAACCTGGATGATTTTCAAGCTGCCTTATAACTTTACAACAAACTCTTTCACTTGCAAGTCAGGAAAAAAATTAAGCACAGAAATCGCAATTAATGCAGAGAAGCAAAAGCAAAAAAACGTAAAAAGCGACTTAGTTAAGAATTTTACTTCTTTTAAAGTTAACTTTATTGAAAAAAGCAATGAGTACAGTAACGGAGTATGAGTTTTTACCCAACTCACGAACATTTTGCTACAGCGAAAAACCCTGTACTTTTGGCGCCTAATTTACAGTTTTTTCAGAAGCACCTTCTACCTCGGGCACGTTTGTTGGTTGACGGCCCCAATGCGCTGATTGGCTAGCTGGCTTTTGGAGAAGAAGTTGAGGAAGGGGACAGTGAAAGGAACAGCGGCAAAGGGAAGGGGAGAGCGGCAATGAGAAAGAGATGGCAGCGGCGGCGCAGCGGGGCTGAGCGAACCGAAGCCCTGCTGCGCCGTTGCAACGTCTCTACTCGCTTGTTAACACGTTTATTTATACCTTAAAACGCTCACAACGCTGTGGTAGTGTGGTATAGTAGTAGCGCTCTCACTTTCCGTGCTGGAACTTCTGGTTTCCAACCCGTGTTCGTGATTCCAACATTGAAGAAAGCTAAATGTTGCATGATCGTTTCGTCCTTGGCAAGTCATCTCAATTGTCTTCCGCCTTATAAGGCGACATTAATGAAGAGATCAAATCGAAATATTTGTGTTGATATGGAATGTCTACTACCTTTTTAACGTAGGACGCTGGAGAAAAAGCTTGCCCTTCCGGACGAAGACTTTGAGAAGTAGATGGTTTCCCTTCAGCTACTTTTTATGGCACACATTTGCTCTTATGAGGCGGGGATGACGCTCTGTACTAAGATGAAAACGAAGAGGGTTAGAAGGAACGGGTACTTTAGGTGTAAAAGACGGGACTGGTGTAAGAAAGCAGGTTTCTATAGCGGCACTTTTTTCGAACACTTTAAATTGAGTTTAAAAGATGTCTTCCGCCTATCTGCGTATTGGGCCGAACACAGGAGGTTCACATACGAAGATATAGCAGTGGAAATGCTCCGTGAAACG